TCTCCATGTAAAAAAAAAATTTTTAAAAAGAAAAAAAAGAAAAAAGAAAACAAAATTAAAAATAATAAAAATGGTTGTCAAAACAATTATTAAATAATAATTTATTTATCATATTCTCTAATAATTAATAATTACAGATTAACAATTAAAAATAATTAATTAATAATTGAAATGAAAAGTTATTAATTCCTTTGTCTTTGAAATATATTTTTAAAAAAATGATTTTATATAAAGTTTTTGGAGAAAAAGGTTCTTTTTTACCTTTAAACGAAAAAAAAACACTTATTCGCAGGAACGATACATATTAAAAGTAGGTAAAGTCATTTTTTCCTTTTTGGTCAGACGCACATTCTCGAAATTATTAACGCAGTCTTACATTTATAATTTATAATTATACACAGTGTATATTTATAATATATGACTCGAAGTTATAAGACTAGGTGGAATATTATAAACTAGAAATTTATATTATAAACTAAAATTTATCTACAAAACTTACAAAGCATTTTAATTTTTTTCTTTTATTGTTTATATTTATAATTTTTTATTTCATTCCTAAGCGAGATTTTCATTTTATTTTCGAAAATAATAATACACAAAGCATTTTAATTTTTTCATTTATTGTTTATATTTATAATTTTTTACTTCATTCCTAGCGAGATTTTCATTTTATTTTCGAAAATAATAATACAAAGCATTTTAATTTTTTCTTTTATAATTTTTTATTTCATTCCTAAGCGAGATTTTCATTTTTATTTTCGAAAATAATAATAATAAAATTATTGAAAAAAGAAAAAAAATATTAATAATAATAATAATATCTAATAAAACTAATAAAAATAATAATAATAACAATAATAAATAATAATAATTTATTTATAGTTAATTAACAAAATTGACACTTTTTTATTTAATTATAACATCGTTAATTAATAGACGCAAATAATTAATATTATTAACAATATTATTACCTAATATTATTAATATTAAATTATTTAATTAATTTTCAATCGTGTTTTTAATATAATTTTTACAATAATAGTTTTACAATTATTAGGATTTTAAATAATTTAAAAATAATATTTTTAAACTATTTTAAATAATTTAAAAGTAATATTTTTAAACTATTTTAAATAATTTAAAAGTAATATTTTTAAACTATTTTAAAAATATTTTTAATAATATTTTTAATGCAATATTTTCAATAAAAAAAAGTGGTTAATAACAGTTTGAAAGAAAAATTTTCAGAATAAAATTTTAAAAATAATAATTTTCAATAATAAAATGTAAAAAAAATTATAATTTACATAAAATTATATTTATTATTCATTTTTAATGATAATAATAATAGATAATAATAATAAATAACAATAAATTCAAAACATATGTAAAATGTGTTTCTTATTTTTTTTTCTTTTTTTTTGCGTCGTCAAAATAATGAAATATCGTTTTTTAGTAATAAAATAAATTATCGACTGATACCTGAGTGGAAACGGAAAAATGGCAAACCATGATTACCCGTGTGGAAAATGAAAATTGGTCCTAGCCAGGTCCTACCTATTTTGCCCTGTTAATAGCTTGGTCCTAGGTTGGCAGTGTAGGTTGGACCAACAATGGCTGGTGATGCGATTCTAGCCTGGTCCTAACTTGGGAGCCTAGTTATGACCAGTTTATTTATATACTTTATTATAATTTCGATTAGTTTATAATATTTGCTAAAGAAATAACCTAAATTATTAATAATAAGTATTAGTTTTAATTAATTATTATTTTTTTCAATTATTAAATGATGACCAAAGGCGAATTCATAAATAATGTTAGTATATGTAGAGATTAATATATATTCCTCTAATATATACATTAAAAATTAGAAAAAAATTAGAAATTTGTTAATTAAATTATTTTACAGTATATATAATCATTAAATTGCATACTTATACGAATACAACGCAGAAAAATCGGAATAAACGCAAACCTAAGAAGTAAATAAAATCTAACGCACGCGGGAATCGAACCTACGACCTACGGACTACGAGACTAACGCCCTAACCACTATGCTAATGAAACTAGTTGAGATCAAAATTTTTATTATCAGTGACTTGTGGACTTGCTTTTGATGATTCAATATAGTAATTATTGACACTAATACACGATAATAAATAAAAAAATAGTTTAGCAGCAACAATAATAATAAAATAATATCGAAATATAAAAATTCAAAAATTAATATTTTTATATTATATCAAGAAAAAAAATATCTATACATTTTCGTTAAAAACAGGTTTTTCATTGTTCTCAATCATTTTTAACATTAATTTCTTGGTCTAAAAAAAATATTCGTCTTTTGGACTTGGAAATTTTTCCTAATTAATTAAGCGGGTGATCCACTTTTTAAAAAAATGTCAAAAAAATTTATGTTAAAAACACGTTTTTCATTATTCTAAATTATTTTAAGCATTAATTTTTTGTTGCAAAAAATTTTTTAGACTTGGACTTAGAAATTTTTGCTAATGAAACTAGGAAGCCCAGGTAGGTCCTGGGTTGGACCTGGGTGGGTCAGCCCACATTCGAATTGCAATATCTCTTAGTGTTTAACACCAACTTAAACGAAACTTAAAATCAGCGATGGAAATTAGAAATATATTTTCCTAATGATAATTATATTGCAGTCTGTATCTGTTTAAATAAATAAATAAATTTTGCTGTTTTATTAACTTTTGTAACAAATTACTTAAAAACTTGCAGTTTTTTATCTAACTTCGCGATTATTACACTTGAGTAGTGAAATATGAAGATAATTTATAATTTTAACAATTCAGCATTTGTTTAAACAAAAAATTGTTGTTATTTATTAATTCTTAAGACAATAAAGCGTCTAGACACTTGTAGTCTTTTAAAATTTTGCAATTAACTAATCTGAGTATTTACTTATTGCAAAATTAGAAAAAACTGCTAGTTTCTAGGTTGATTGTGTAAAAAGTTAGTAAATAACAATTATTTGTTTGAACAATTGCTGAATTAATAAATTAATAAATTAACTTTATTTTATAGTATTTGTATAATTTTCTGATTTATGTCAAACAATAAATTGTTTAAATAAATATGATTATCAATTAATTTTATAAATATTAATTGAGAATATTTATCAATTTTTACATGTTTTTCATGTATCAATTTTGACACTTTATTTTCCTAAAAATTTTTCTAAGTCATAACTGGATCTCCTAGCTAGGACCAAGTTAGGACCAGCCCAGGATATATAAAAAGGGGTTGCCAAGTTAGGTCCAAGCTAGGGCCAATAATCATTTTAGGCATAGCATGGTGATTTCTACACGGGTAACGAGAAAACTAGATACAATCTGAAAATTTATATATTTTGACTATGGTCACATCTTAGAAAACCATGGCTAACGACAAAAATATTTGAAAACCTGAAAAAATTAATTTAATTTTAAAAAAGATTTTAAACATAAGGTTAGAATTTAGCGAACCATGGCTAATATAATAAAAATATTTAAAAATCTGAAAATTTTATTTTTTTTTATTTTGACTGTGGTAAAAATCTGTGGCCAATGATAAAAATATTTAAAACCCTCCAAATTTATATATAGTTTAGATTTTACATTTATGGTCAAAAACTAGCAAACCATGCCCAACGATAAAAAATGTTTAAAATCTTAAAATATTTATATTGTGACATAATGTTCAAAATCTAGTGAACCATGAGTAACAACAAAAATATTTTAAACCTTAAAAATATATCTATATTTTGACCATGGACAAAATCTAGCAAATTATGACAAATGACAAAAATATTTTAAAATCTTAAAATTTTCATAATTTGATTATGGTCAAAATCTAGTGAACCATGCCCAACAAGAAAAATATTTTAAACTCTCAAAATATTCATATTTTGACCATGGACAAAATCTAGCAAATTATGACGAATGACAAAAATATTTTAAAATCTTAAAATTTTTATAATTTGACAATGGTCAAAATCTAGTGAACCATCCCCAACAAGAAAAATATTTTAAACTCTCAAAATATCCATATTTTGACCATGGCGAAAATCTAGAAAACCATGGTCAACGGGAATTCTAGTTGAAATCTGGAAATTTATATATTTTTGACCATGGCGAAAATCTAGCAAACCATGATCAACGACAAAAATATAGTTTAAAAACCTTAAAATTTTTATATATTTTGACTGTAGCCGCATTCTTTGCTCCTAAATTATTTTTGCCTTTGACCATGGTTTTGCTAGAATTTGACATTTTTCTGTTTCCACGCAGGACGTATACTTTATTTTTGTTTCTTTCTGTACAAAAGGCGAAAAAAATGTATTATTATATTATATTATAAAAAATATATATATGCATACACATATATATAGTCTTTAGAGAAAACTTACAATCAGTCGATATAATAACAGCGCTTCTATAGAACACGCTATATGAATAAATTATAAATACAGAATATATATACATATATATAGATTTATATATATATATATATGTATACATGTATATATACATTTATATAGATTTATATACATATATGTATATATAAACCACACGACACTTCATTTTCGCACGTGACGATTAATGCCACTCACTTTTAATATTGCACGTAATTTTAAACATTTAAAAGCCTCTTGAGACTTTATTTTTAAAACGCAGAATTAACGAATAAATTTAATATTTTTTATTTTAAACGAGTGATGGAATTTTTTTTTTATTTTTGTCTATACATTAATATCTTTCCGATCTTAATATTTTAAAGAAAAAAAAATTTATTTTTGATACTATTCGATTCGGCTTTTTTTTCTCTCTTTTTTTTTGATTTTATATAATATTTTTAATTCATTTTATTAAATTTTAAAATATGGAATTTTTTTTCTTTTGAATATTTTATTTTAATTTTTGTTGAAAAGATATTTCAGAAGAAATGAAAAAAAGGAGAAAAATATCAAAAAAAAGGAAAAAAACGCTATATAAAGAACATAAAGCCAAAAAAAAAGGAAAAATTGCTTAAAAACAGAAAAATTTGTTAAAAATTTCAATGAAAATCGTAAGGTTATCTTCTTAATGATGTTGATTTAAAGGTGATTTGTTGTTGGTCGTTTGGAATACTACTTAGATTATTATTGAAGTTACATGAAAGGTTGGAGTCAAAAGATCCGGGTCAAAATCGCAACGGTCAAGAGGCAAATGTTGTCGTATGCCATGTTGCTTGATAATTTTGTTGCTTTTGTTGTTGCGGTCTTCTTTGTCTGAAAAAAAACAAAAAAGGAAATTGTTACTTTTTTATTCATAATAACATAATTTATAATAATAACAATTAATTACGAGTGTATATTATTATTTTATTTTCCACCTAATCTACACAATGTATTCCTATATATCTATATATAAATAAATAAATAAATAAATAAATCCCCCCCCCTACCCTAGAAAAACAAAAAGTAACAAAATGTAAAAGTATAGTAACAAGAAATTATAAAAAAAAACAAAAAGTTAAAAAAAAATTAGAGAAATAATATAAATAAATAAATCCCCCCCTTCTTCCAGAAAGAATAAAAAAAATTAACAAAATGTAAGTGGATAGTAACAAAAAATTATAAAAAAAATAACAAAAAAGTGATAAAAAAATTAGAGGAAGCTATTATTTTAGTAAATTGTAGAGAGAAAAAATATAAGTTAAAAAGTTTAATAAATGTAAAATTACAAAGTTAGAAAAAAATAACAAAATCTTTTAAGCAAATAGTGAGAAAAAGTAACGAAAATAACATAAAAAGAAAAGTTAAAAAATGTTAAAAAAAAGTAAACAAAAAAAAAATTAAAAAACAAACGAAAAATAAGAAAATATAGTTAACAACACATCTACAATAACAATAAAAAAACAGTAACAAAATAGTAAGTAAAAGTAACAATAAACTTTTGAAAATAACAAAACGAAAAATGAAAAAATATCATAAGGAAAAATTTGAAAAAATAAATAATAAAAAAGGAATGAAAATTTAATCATAGAAAAAATTAAAAATTACCAAAATCTAAACAATTAGCAAGAAAGAGAAAAGAAATATTTTCACCAAAGAAAAAGTAATAAAAATAACAACTAAAATAATTAAAAATAAATAAAAAAAAAATTATAGAATTAACAAAAAGTTACAAAAAAGTAAGAAAAATACAATTTTTGTTATAATTATGATAACAAAAAAATGTGTAAGTATAATAAGAAATATTCACCTAAATTAATAAGAAAAGTAACAAAAGTAAGCAAATGCTATAAACAGAAAAGTAACACAAATGTATTAAAAACTAATAAAAAAAATAATACAAATAAAAAGTTAAGCGAATTGTAAGAAAAAGTAACGAACATTTTGCAGAGAAGTAACAAAATTAACCAAATAGTAACAAACAGTAACACAGATGTAACAAAAAATAACAAGTAACAATAACAGAGTTAACAAAAAAGTAACAAAATTACCAAAAAAGTAAATAATAATATTTATAATAATAATTTTCTTATTTTTTTATTTTTTTTTGTTAGTTTGGTTAAGTTTGTTAATTTTGTTATTTTTTGTAAAATTTTGTGTTAATTTTTGTTAATTTTGATACATTACTATTCAATTAATATTGCTACTTTTGTGTAACTTTTTGTTAATTTTGCTTTTTTTGATACTTCTGTGTTACCCTTGTTAACTTACGATTTAATTAATTTTGTTACTTTTGCATTTTTTGTGAATTTTAATGTTTTCGTTCACATTCGTTATTTTATTTTTTTATTAAGTCCTGTGTTACTCTTATTGTTGCATTACTATTTTAAATATTAAATTTATTGTTCTTTTGTTTAATTTCTTAATTTTTGTTTCTTTTGTGTTATTCTTGTTATATTACTATTTAGTTAATTTTGTTATTTCTGCATTCTTTTTGTAAATTTTATTATTTTTTAGTTTCTGTTCTGTCATATTTCGTTAGATTACTATTTAGTTTATTTTGTTACTTCTGTGTTGCTTATCGTTACATTACTACTTCGTTAATTTTGTTACTTCTATTTTTCAGCCTCGAACCCTACATAGTATAGTAGGGAGTGTAAATAAACACTATTTGTTACTTCTATTTTTCCATTTGGGAATTTTGTTACTTTACTGTTTTTTAATTACTTCTGTGTTACTCTTGATACATTAATTTTAGTTAATTAATTTTATTACTTTTGAATTTTTTTGTAAATTTTATTTTTTTGTTTACTTTTGTTTCTTTTGTTACTTTTGTATTTTTTAATAAATTTTATTGTTCACTTTTGTTTCTTGTGTTACTTCTGTGTTACTCTTGTTGCATTACTATTTACATTAAATTCATTCTTTTTTTTATTTACTTTCTGTTAATTTTGTGACTTTTGTGTTACTCTGATTATATTACTGTTTAGTTAATTTTGTTACTTCTGAATTTTTTTAATTTAAAAAAAATCAATAAAAAACATTACTTTATGTTCAGTTTTCTTAGTTTTGTTACTTTTGCATTTTTTTGTTAATTTTATTGATTTTTGTTTACGTTTGTTTCTATTTTTTTACTTTAATGTTACTTTTGTTACATTACTTTATTGTTTTTTTTTACTTTTGTTAATTTTTTTTGTTTCTTTTGTGTTACTTTTGTTATATTTGCTATTTAATTAATTTTGTTACTTCTGAATTTTTTCGCATATTTTTTTGTTTTCGTTTACTTTTGTTAATTTTGTTTCTTTTGTTACTTCTGTGTTACTCTTGTTACATTACTATTTAGTTAATTTTGTTACTTTTGTATTTTTTGTCAATTTAATTTTTGTGGTTTACTTTTGTTTCTTTTGTTACTTCTGTATTTTTTAATAAATTATATTGTTTTTTTGTTCACTTTTGTTTCTTGTGTTACTTTTGTGTTACTCTTGTTGCATTATTATTTAAATTAAATTTATTGTTTCCTTTTGTTTACGTTTGTTAATTTTGTTTCTTTTGTGTTACTCTTGTTCTATTACTATTTAGTTAATTTAGATACTTCTGAATTTATTTAAATTGAAAAAAAATCAACAAAAATAATACTTTTTTGTTCAGTTCTGTTACTTTAGCATTTTTATTTTTATTTTATTTTTTTTTGTTTACGTTTTTTTTTTACTTCTGTGTTACTCTTGTCACATTACTATTTATATTAAATTTATTGTTTTTTTTTAATTTTTGGTAATTTTTTTTGTCTCTTTTGTGTTACTTTTGTTATAATTTGCTATTTAATTAATTTTGTTAATTCTTAATTTTTTTTTTGTTTACTTTCGTTAATTTTATTTCTTTTGTTACTTCTGTATTTTTTAATAAATTTTATTGTTTTTTTGTTCACTTTTGTTTCTTGTGTTACTTCTGTGTTACTCTTGTTGCAAATATTAAAGGCCGTTCAAAAAATACGTAACGCTTTTTGGGGGGAGGGGGGCTCAAGCTATTTGTTACGGTCAGCAGAAAAAATGGCGCTAATGTATACAACACTGCGTTACATGGGGAGGGGGGGGGGTCCAAATTTCCGAAAAATAGCGTTACGTATTTTTTGAACGGCCCCTTATTTAAATTAAATTTATTGAATTCTTTTGTTTACGTTTGTTAATTTTGTTTCTTTTTTGTTACTCTTGCTCTATTACTATTCAGTTAATTTTGATACTTCTGCATTTATTTAAATTTAAAAAAAATCAACAAAAAGCATTACTTTTTTTGTTCAGTTTCCTTATAGTTTTGTTACTTTTGCATTTTTTTGTTAATTTTATTGTTTTTTGTTTACGTTTGTTTCTTTTTTTACTTCTATGTTACTCTTGTTACATTGCTACTTACATTAAATTTATTGTTTTTTTACTTTTGTCAATTTTTTTTGTTTCTTCTATGTTACTTTTGTTATATTTGCTATTTAATTAATTTTGTTACTTCTGAATTTTTTCGCATATTTTTTTTGTTTTTGTTTACTTTGTTAATTTTGTTTCTTTTGTTACTTCTGTGTTACTCTTGTTACATTACTGTTTAATTAATTTTGTTACTTTTGCATTTTCTGGTAAATTTTATTATTTTTTATTACTACTATGTTAATTTTTGTTACTTCTGTATTGCATATTTGATAATTTTCTTATTTTTCTGTTACTTTTGCGCTACTTTTTATCATAATACTATCTGGTCAATTTTAGTACTATTTTCTTAATTATATTATTTCTTATTTTTTGTTACTTTTTATGTTACTTATTAATTATTTTCTGTTACAATTTTTTGTTGTTATATTTTTTAATAATAATAATTATTGTTAAATTTTTTTTTGTTTTTAGTAAATAATTATGTATCAAAAAGTAACAAAAAAACTAACAGTATATTTATTTAGTAATAAGAATAAAAGAAACAATAAATTAACGTTACAAACAAAACAAGAGTTTTATTAAAAAAAGTACCATATTTTCAAATGTATTTAAAATGAAAGCAAAAACAAAAAGACAGAAAACAAAAAACAAAAATACAAAAAAAATTGTTTTTGTTTTTCGTGAAATTACTTCAAGGTTAATAATACAATATATACAATACACACGATAGACCATGAGACGTCTAAATTTAAAACGTTAAAGCTAAAGAATTATTTTTTGCATTCATCAGAATTGACATTGAAGGTAAATGCATTGAAGAGTCGATTATTTCGCAGTAGACTTTTATATACATATATATTATAAATATGAGTGAGTGCGAGTGCATATGGTAGTCAATGCTGCGATAATCTATGTGAAAATACAAGTCCATCTCATTTTCAAATACAGAATTGAGTAGACAATGCATTTGTCGCTTCTTTTCTCAATATATAATATGTATCTATTCTATATATATATACAGTGGGACAGAAGAAGGTGTATGACTTTATATTATATAGACAACTAGTATACACCACTATACGAAGCAATATGAAATATGAATTAGCGATCGAAGTGAATATGGCTTCACTCTTTCTCTTTAAAATCCATTCGAGAAACTCACCTCATATCACATTTACAATTCACTATAAATTGTGTCTTATACCAGTAATTCTTTATTTTTTCCCCCATCAAAATCGTTTAAAATTTTCCAATGAAAAAAAAAAAATATACAAATGTCTTTTTTTCCCATCAATTTCAATAAATAGACGCAATTATTTTATATTCGAAATAATTCTAGTAAGAACCCGTGTGGAAAAGTGGTGTTGACCCACGCCGGGGGCCCGCATGGATCGCCCACATGGGTGATCCAGGCGAGGCCCC